ATGATACTAAATGATCACCGTATTTACTTTTTTTTTTTGGTATTTATAAGATACTCATGACAATACCGGAAAATAAACTCCAACTGTCCTAGAATAAGCTGAAACGTGTTCACAAATGTTCATTTAAAAGAAATGATATTGTAATAAGCATGTGTTACGTTAGTAAATATCCTCTAGTGAACAGATTGAGTGCAAATCCTCAGACTTATGACAGCAATTAAACATTTATCTAATGAGCTCTCAGGAGACTTGCATTTAATTACCAGTGGGAGAGCATGCATTCATGAAATAATTTCAAACCCCTGCGATTATTTGCAGAAATGACAGTATTTCCAGAACATTCCAGCAACTTTGATAACGAGCTCGCGCCACAACTCGCTGTGTTAAATACAGTTTGACGAAACAACTCTCGTCTAAAGGTTTATGTGCAGATAATCATTTAAAAGTGTGATTAAAAACAAGAAATGACATGAAAATGCTTACCGCAATGGGAGAGGAAACCCACACGGAGCTGCGCAGCAACAACTTTGACAACAAAACAAGATCAATCTGTGCAACTTCCGGGTAAAGGTCAATGGTCAACCCCGACAAGTACAAAATAAAAGTCATAAAGTCAAGGTCGTTGCGATGACTGCAGGGGACGTTTAAGCTAGTTTTCAAAACATAAATGCGTATTATACAGTCATTTTTAATGTATCTGTTTTATATTAATATATATATATTTACAAATGTAGGGTTCACTCAAATTATTTCATTTAAATAACAAAATAAATACAGTTTGACGAAACAACTCTCGTCTAAAGGTTTATGTGCAGATAATCATTTAAAAGTGTGATTAAAAACAAGAAATGACATGAAAATGCTTACCGCAATGGGAGAGGAAACCCACACGGAGCTGCGCAGCAACAACTTTGACAACAAAACAAGATCAATCTGTGCAACTTCCGGGTAAAGGTCAATGGTCAACCCCGACAAGTACAAAATAAAAGTCATAAAGTCAAGGTCGTTGCGATGACTGCAGGGGACGTTTAAGCTAGTTTTCAAAACATAAATGCGTATTATACACTGTCATTTTTAATGTATCTGTTTTATATTAATATATATATATTTACAAATGTAGGGTTCACTCAAATTATTTCATTTAAATAACAAAGCTGGAACACGTAAAAATATCAAATTACATTTATTATTGATGCAATCATTTCTTTTTGATAAGCAAATTTTCTGTTTGTTTGTCGTTTTTCTGTCTAAAGAAACTTTACAATATAAAGAAACATACAAAGGACATATTTAGCTACACAAGACACCTAAGGCCCTAGGACAAAGATCTGAGCTACCCTACTATGAAATACAAAGCAAACCCAATGGGACAGACTGCTTCATATTGAATACTGTCATGTCGCAAGAAAGGACAATGAAAATTACAGGAGAAATTTCTGTCACTCACTCCCATGACCCTTCTTGCTTCAAAATACACATTTTCCTCTCAAACGTTTCTAATGTTACAATATTATACATCACAACAGAAGTGCAGAGATGGCCAACAACCGGACACTGAAGCAGGTCAGTGAGCAACTAAACAATTCCAGCCTTCAGGACCTTTAATTCGATGTAAAATGGCTGAAATTTTAAATATGCTAACAAATTTGATGGTAAATTGCTCGGAGTTTGTGTTTTCACATTCATATAGACTCAGTTAACTTTCTGTTCTGTTCAAAAATCACAATATTCTCTTGAGCAAAAACAAGCCATTTTCTTTACACCAACTATGTGTTTGAGGAAATATTTCTGAAGAAATAAATGCATAAACCTATTGCGGATTTGATTTACAATAGGGGATACCATCAATCTGCCGTTTTTTGTTTTGTTTTGTTTTTTACAGCAAAAGCATCTCTTTAAAATACAAAAACACAAACCGATTAAAACTTATTTTCAGCTGTACTCATTGGTTGTGACTGACATATTAAAACATGTCAATGATATCAAAATGCATTTTACAGTATTTACAGTAAACCAAAGGTCAGGGGTGAGGGTCAAGAAAGGTTAAGGGCCGTGTACCAGACAAACTGAAGACAAGCATGAAAATCCCTTCAAAACTTATCAGGAGGCTAAGCCTGGTTCTCGCAGATGGCCAAAATACATTATGAACTTACTATAATCACTGGCTAAAAGCATTTTAAACTGGACTGGCAGCTATTTAAAATAACTTTTTCAGAGGTCGACCTGAACATCAAGAAATGTGTGATTTTGAATGTCCCACGATGATCGGTGTTCTGTAATGAAGCGCCGATTAAATAACTGCAGGCATGAAATGGCTGGTTTAATGAGGTTACAAATTTGTCAACAGGATTTTTTTGTCAATTATTCTATTATATACAAAGGAGAATCTCACTAAACCTGTAAGTCATATTTCACCCCAAATTCAGAACACACAAAAAAAGAAAAAATTATTGTTATTGTTGTTCATATATATATATATATATATATATACACATACATACATACAGACACACACACACATTTATTTTTAGCAATTATTTCATTTTGAATGTCCCACGATGATCGGTGTTCTGTAATGAAGCGCCGATTAAATAACTGCAGGCATGAAATGGCTGGTTTAATGAGGTTACAAATTTGTCAACAGGATTTTTTTGTCAATTATTCTATTATATACAAAGGAGAATCTCACTAAACCTGTAAGTCATATTTCACCCCAAATTCAGAACACACAAAAAAAGAAAAAATTATTGTTATTGTTGTTCATATATATATATATATATATATATACACATACATACATACAGACACACACACACATTTATTTTTAGCAATTATTTCAATACAAATTATCTGACTAGTGCTGTCAAATTGATTAAATGTACGCATGTATATTTAAATATATATATATAATATAAATTACAAATATTTATATATATATATATATATATACACACACACACACACACACGTACATATTTCTTAAATATATACATGTGTGTATATTTATATATACATATAAGCATACACAGTACACACATATTTCACACATCATGTAAACAAACTTTTATTTTGGATGCGATTAATCGCGATTAATCGATTTGACAGCACTAGTCAGAATATTTAAAAAATGCCTTAAAAGAGCTAATTAAATGAATTTAAACTTAATTTAGAGGTAAAATGTGACTCAGACATTTATTCATGTGATTTTCCTTCTTTTTCGGAGATTAATATCCTCATATTGCACCACAAATGTTGACAGCAAACACTGCGAGTGCAACCTCATTTGAAGAAAGACATGGAACCACACATGAGCTTCACAGACAAGTAGTGTATTGAAAATACCAATAAGGTCCATGACCAAAAAAAAAAAAAAAAAGATATATTTACAGACATGGGACTATAGAGCACAAGGAAACTCGTGCTTGTAAGAGCAGCCTGCCTCCAACTACTGTTACAAACACGTGGGTATAATATTTCTAAAAAAGACTTCTGAAACAACGTGGCAAACACGTAGTGGCAAACTTACAATGAACACGGATGATATCGTAACTATCGGCGACAAATCATCTAGAACGGATGGTAAAATGTATTGTTATTGACCGTTCGTGACCAAGGCAAGAATGGATGGCAGTGAATATGCAACGTCACCCTTTTAGACTTCGAAATGAACTCCAATCTTTAAATACAGTGCCGACGGGTGCATTAAACCAGTGATTGTAGCCACTTTGCTGACAGAGACACAAAAACTGAGGTTGTACATCTCGGTGGTGATGACATCAGAACACAGGAAGAGGTATATGCAGACATCTGACGAAACAAACTCAAACGAAGAGACAAACAAATACCTAAAATCATGTAAACAGAAATGTCATTGTGCATTTGAATGTGTGCTTATTCTGTCATTGATGTTGTTGAGATACAAATGTGCCCTTTACAGGAAAATCCATAAAATTATGAGTACATCATCATCATCATAGCAATTATGAAAATTATAACAATAATATTATCAATAATATACAAATATATTGTAATGAGACCATTCCTGCCCCTAGCGTCACCAGTTTAGCTTTTTCCATTTTAAAATGTACACAGCAATCAAAACAACCACAGGTTTCAGTGTTTCATTGCTGACAAAAGACGAGAAAAAAAAACAAGAAAACTAGAAAATGGGGCTGAAATAAAGCCATCAGCCTCAATGCTGATGAGCAGCTAGTTATGAAGTGTCTTCCTGGCACAGTCCCACACACACACGCACATGTACAAACACACACACACACGGTGGTTCATTCGGGGCCCCTTAGCGTCCCGATCCAGTGACGAAGCCCGGCAGGCAGGTTGAGTCCGTCAGAAGGCCCGATGCCAGCTTTCTTTCGGCTTTGTACTGGGCGTCCTTCGCTCCGTGGCCACGTCGAGCGGCTGAAGGGCGCCACCGCGCCAGCCCAGAGGTGTTTGAGGGAGTTGAAGATCGAGCGAAAAAAAAACAGCAACATGCCGAACACAGCAGAGATGAGGAGAACAGAAAGTGGGATGGGGACGGGTTAAAAAAATAAAATAAAAACAAAATTAAAAAAAAGAAGAATCACACACTCATAGTCATGTTGGGTGAATACTGCAACGAGAAGAGAGGAAGGGGAACGTGGAGGGATAAAATGAGATTGCAAAACACATAATATCATCTGTTTATGTTATATCATGAGCCGATATTTAGACTAACTATTGCATAAAGTGAATGTAGGTACATTTGTAATGTACATGTCGTTACAGGAGAGCGGGGGAGAATAGCGGTATGATGCAGACTTACTATATATATATGTATGTATGTATGTATGTATGTATGTATGTATGTATGTGTGTGTGTGTGTGTGTGTGTGTGTGTGAAAAAATGCCTAAGATTAAAAAAGATCCTAAAATTTAAATTACAAATACAAGTTAATTCAAAATCTATATAAAAAAAACTATAATAGATAAATGACACTAAAATAAAACAGATTCACAGGCTTTCAAGTTCTCACCTTTGGCAACCCATCCATATCACCCGAGCCTGTGATCAAAAGCAGATAAATTTGAGAACCATTCGAAACATCAAAACATTTGTTATTTTCTGCGTATTAGCTATTTGTATGACGAAGTCTCACCTAAAGACCCGTTCATATGGTGCGGCTCCATCGATCCCATTCCACCCATCGGACCATCAGGCCCCGGCCCCATTGGGAACTGTAGAAACACATACTATTAACATCCATCCAGAAAACCATCAATAATGCTAACAAAGGACTAAACCATTTTCCATACTGCCAACGTACACTCGGTCTGTTGCCACCAGGGCCGATTGGATTCATCATTGTGTAAATATTTTCACTGGAATTCGTTGAGTCTGCGAGAAAACAGATGACACTTCTCCACAATCTGATGTTTTCAAATAACATTTCCCAAAACAAGAGCTTTATGTTTTAAGCTAATTTCCAGTCACTGAGGTAATTTCTCAACTATTGTTATGAGCTTTCAATAAAAGAAGGCTGATATGAAATTCAGATAGCTTAGATTCAAGCATACTGACCTCCCGGGCTTGGCATGATGGGAGTTCCTGGAGGGCCGCCACCTCCTGGAGGCCCCTACGAGATGAGCACGGAAAATGATTACTCACAAAGAACACAAAGAAAAGACAAACAGAGAGAGGGTGAGACAAAATCTTGTGCGTGCAACTCACCACATAGTTTCCTGGTGATGAAGACGAGTATGCTATCTGTGGGAAGAAGAGATATTATGAAGCTGTTTCTCTCAGTCATTGCGATATTGAAATGATTGGAAGTGGCACTCACTGAGTTTGCGTTAGGGTTAGGCCAAGGCCCTCGACCTCCTGGACCCCTAAAAACACAAGAAGAAATGATAGTGTGTTAATATAAGCGTGGCATAGACAGCATGAGTTTGTTATACCACGGTGGAGACTCACATGTTCATGCCAGGCATTCCAGGACCGCCGAGAGAGTTCAGAGGGGGCCTCATTCCACCGCCGTAGTTCTACAAATGCAGAGATGGCAAAAGTTAACATACATATGAAAGACATTATGGCACTGTAACAAGAAGGTACATATGACTTGCTTTTATTTAATCTGGTAAATGTTAATTCAGTACCTCATCTATAATAAATTGTTTTATAATACTATTATAATATATTATAGTTATAATGTATGTTATATAATAGTTATAGTTATAATAACTATAGGCAGGGTTGCCACATTTATATATATATATATATATATATATATACACACACACTATATATAGATAGATATTGATCTATATACTATTTAACATTTGAAGTGGATCAAAACCTTTCATCAAAATTGTCCTAAAACCAAAATGTGTTCTTGTCTAACTTTTTTTGATCCACTTCAAATGTTGACTTCTGTAGATATATAGATAGATATAGATATATAAAATAAAGAAAATATATTTAACTATAGCAATCTCTACACTTTTCTTGCTTGCTTGCTTGCTTGTTAATTAATTAATTAATGTAGGTATATTGTAGGAATATGTAAGAATATCTAATTTCCAAATACATATTGTATATTAATGCACAATAAATAATAAACTAAATAAATATTTTCTATCTTTCTATTTCTATCTATTTTTTCATTAGATTTATTTTTAATTAGATGACATAATAATAATAATAATAACTTAATTATACTTTAAATACACTTATAATAAATAAATAAATAAATTTTCTATACATATTTATTTTCCATGGATATATATGTATGTATATATGGATTGAATGTATTTATTCATTGATTTAAACTCATTTTATTTCTATTTACATTTCTCTGATATTTCCAGGTTTTCTTTGATTATGTCCTATACAGTGTTCCCAATCTAAGCACAACTGTTTGATTGACAGCAATGTCAGCCAACCTGTGGGCCCATGCCTCCCATTCCTCTGGGTGGGTTCATTCTCATCGGCCCACCCATGTTTGGATGTCCTGATGGGGGAGATGAAGCACAATCATTTTACAAATGCCTGAGCGATTGGAGTTCTTCCATAGCAAATTTCCCTAAACACAGCTGGTTGTAAAACTCTATGGCGCAGTGCGGTACCTTGCGGTCTGGTGGGGTCCAAACTGTTTGGCAGGAGTGGCTGTGACCCTGGGATTCCAACGGGAGGCTGAAACCAAGAAAAAGTGCATGAAACAAGAGCCAAAGCAGAGAAAACGGAAATAGAAAACTGCAGGAATGAAGGGTTGTGGGTGGGTCAGTACCTGATTTGGCATGCGGAGTGATGGGCGAGGTCCACCTGGGTACCGTGGAGACATGAAAGGCTATGGGGAGATAGCATAGGAGCTGTCAATCAAAAGACGCCATTGCTAACTTCTCATTAGCAGAACAGTACTACTTTAACATCATATGCTCTATACCTCTGATGATTATATTTAACTGTCCAAAAAGTGATTCACAGTATAAACATAAAATTGTATGGATTTATAACTGAAACTAAAAGAAATGTTTAGTATTTGAGAGGCGCAATACAATAGTAATCAGCAGGGGGCGCAATCACATTACAAAAAAGGCGTCTGCTTGAGCTTAAAGAGGAAAAACTCAAAACATCGGTTCTCTTTACACTGACATGGTCAGCCTGCTGCTATCAGATTGCTTAAAAGAGAAAATATATGGTATTTTAAACAAGACTTTACAGTGAGAACTAAAATAGAAAGAGGGAGGACAGCAGAGCAATAAGCGACAAACAAAAAGATGCCGACATCATCGTAACCATCTGGAAAGCGACAAGCTACAGCAACAAGTAATTTGTCTATCCACACTGAAAGCACAAACACTGCCCAACGCCACATAACCACGGCAAAATAAGAACATATTTGCGGTTTCATGTATAGTTACGAGGCACTGGATTTTTAACCAGCGATTGCTCTGTGGTTGAGGTCATCCAGTGCAACACCACCAGAATAAAAACAAATCAAGCGACAACATTATCTATCGCTCAAAGCTTTATTACATCACAGAGTAGCAAGTCATTTTTTTAGGGTTTGATCCAACAACCTTTAGGATTGACCTCATTTCCAGCTCGGCCTACCTACGTTTGCTCCAAGTTTCAGCAAGTTTGTGTATTTGGAAGGATGTGTTGGTGTTTGTGTATTTGTGTTAGAGTGCCTGTGTTTATGCTTGCATGTGTAAACGCAAGAGCATGTTTGTGTGTTCGTGCGTGTTGCATTATTAATAGGATATTGATGGACTATGAAGGACTGAGTGCAGGGTGTAGGGATGGACCAGGTCTGCAGAGTTCCAGCTAGATGAACTTCCACTCCTTATGGGCTGGGCCGCAGCCTGCATTATTTATTTGGCAACATCGTCACTGTCAGCGAGGAATATGTGTGTTCGTGTTTGTGTGTGCTGTCAGAGAGAACACAGAATGAAGTAATGTACTGCTTTGAGCTCTATCTAAAGGGTCAGGATAGTTGTCCGACAATTTACTTAGTGAAACTGACTAGATTAGATTTTTCTTATATTTTTATAAAGTATTCAAATGATATACGTATTTGTCATATACTTTAATTAGATTTAATATTTTAATAATCCCTATAGCTCAAATTGCAGAGTCGAGCAATGCCAAAATCATGGGTTTCATTCCCTGGGAATTTATAAACGGATAAACTGTAAACCTCGAATGCAATGAAAGTCGCTTTGAATATTTTATTCTTGTATTAAAACAGTCTAATCTAATCTAATGATAATTATATCAATAATAATTATTACAAATTATGGTAGCAACTCTAAGGTTATAGGTTCGATTCTCATTAACTGATAAAGTCACTTATAATATATTATTCTTGTAATAAAATAGTCTAATCTAATGATAATTATATCAATAACACATCAATACTAATTATATAATTATTCTACTTACCATAGCAACTCTTAGGTCATAGGTTCGATTCCCATTAACTGATAAACTGTATACCTTGAATGCAATGTAAGTCGCTTATACTATTTTATTCTTGTATTAAAATAGCCTAATCTAATCATAATTATATCAATAATATATCAATAATTATTCTACTTACCATAGCAACTCTTAGGTCATAGGTTTGATTCCCATTAATTGATCAACTGTATACCTTGAATGCAATATAGTTTGCATTGGATACAAGCATCCGCCAAATGTGTAAAATGTAAATAAAGGGTTCCAGTTAAGTCAGGTTAGTTGACTAGTCATATAGGAAACTCACCGACTAGTTTATTTTTTTCTGAAGTCTGAAGCTTTGCACACTACTAGATCTAACTAGTGAAGAAATTAGACAAAACCAAGCTCAAGACGCAGACTTTTTCCAGAAATAACAGTTTTCGTTCATTCAATTTTGGGAATGAATGAACGAAATAAAAGAAGAATGAAGGTGTGAAGACAGAAAGGGTGAATGGAAAGCTGCTCCCAATGTGCGTCTATTCCACAGGTTATGTGTGAGGAAGTACAAGAAAATAGGGGACAAGGGTCTTACCTGGCCATGTGGCCCCATCATGGGGTTGTTGGGGTTGTGTGGAGGGGGCTGTGAGTGTGGTGATGGTTGTGATCCGGGTGGGCCCTGAGAAAGGGAAAAAAAGAGAAAAATTAAGAGACATTACATTTGAAAACCTATAGACATGCCATTAAATTGGTCTTTGCTGAAGTTGGTTGACCAACAAAGTCTCACTGGTAAAGATAGGTTAAGAAAAAGCTGATGATTTTAATGGTCTCTAATAACAATCCAGGTTGGTAATAAATCTACCCTTTATTCCCCAGCAAAGGACATCTCCTACAAGGCTGGGCAGCTGCTGAACCCCATAACGGAGCTCAACCACAAGGCCTCCTCCTTGCCTCTCAATGGAGTCCATTATGGGTAAGTGGGATAGGCATATGGCCTATACCAAGATGCCTGTTCCTGCACCACATCCCTGTAGAGAGTGACTGAGGAACAACTTGGGTGGGATTGTGTGCGTGTGTCTTAGGTGGGGAGGAGGGGGGGTGTTTATTAAATGAAGCAATTAATAAAATCATTTTCTACCCAGCTAAGGAGATATCGGCTTGGCACCGAACTACAAGCCCATCAAGAGTAGCCCCTCCCGCCGAGAAAGGGAACAGCACATAATATTCCTAGCGGGATAGTGGCATAGAGGACAGCAGCAACCAGAAGTCCAACTGTTTCAGGGAAGCAATGCTGCTTCCTGACCAAAAGGGGGCAGTGTGTAGCTACTTGCCGTGTGACTGCCGGGACACAAAGTACCAAGCAAAACAAAGCATGGAACAGCAACAATGCATATTTCATTGTTGTCTCTGTGTACATTACGAAAAAAAATTACGACCACTTCTTTGGCAAATGGCACGGGATTGTGCAATTCATGTTTTTGAGGGTGTGCTGCTTCAGAAGGATGGTTTTCACTCATCTAGGAAGTAATTATTCTGATAAGTGCAGCTGTCACAGAATACGTCACAAACAGAGACGTAACATACAGGATCTAAACATAATCAAGAACCTCTGGTTGTCAAAAACGTCAAGAAATCTCGCAAACGTATGCGAACCAGAGAGGTACTTTGACTTTAAAAGTCACCCCAAATGATGCTATCAATTAATTATTTCGATTTCTGTGCAAAAAGCACAACTGACAGGAAATCAGTCACAAACCGTGACGATGGCATATCAAATGGGATCTAAATTTTGACAAAGACACCTCTAGCTGTCAAAAATGTCAATCTCGTAAACCTGTCTGCACGAGAGAGGTACTTTGACCTCAGAAGTAACTGAAAATTAACTCAATCAAAACCATCCGTAAGGCTGCAACTTAGGAAGAAAGAAAACACGAAAGTAAACTGAGATTTGCTTGAGTGTTGGAACATTTCTATGTCAACAGGACTACAACGCTGTACGGTGCTGGACTATTTCAATGTCCCAAGACTCCTGCACCTCACAGCAAGTCTGAGCAAGATCCTCCAGTCCTTTTAACCTTGATGGAACTCTCTCTCTCTCTCTAGAGTCTGTCAGTCTTTCACTTTTCTCAGTGTTCTGTTGGTTTTCAAGAGGTTTTTGTGGGAGAAGGGCTGATGAAATTCTCCCACCTTCTTCCCTCAAAAACAAACCCATCCATTTCAGATGTTTCCAGCTAAACTTGAAACTTTCTCTTTTTTTCACTCCTTGACTTCGCTCCCTCCCTGCCTCCCCCTTGCTAGTCTGTCGTCCCAAGAGGAGCTGGTGCAGTGGAGTTTCGACGTGAAGATTATTGAAGAAGCCGACCCATGCAATGGGGGGAATATAAAAAATAAATAAATAAATCATACAAAATTTCCAAGATCCGGGCCAGACGCCAGCACGCAAGCTTTGTGTTTCTCTCCTTAAACTCTCTTCCTTCGCTCTCTGTCTCTCTGCAGGAGATGGCCGGGAGTCTGGGTCTGCAATGTACAGATTAGGAGCGTCTAGAGAGAAGGTGTACAGGAGGGTTTAACCGCTTCACCTTCGTCCCTGTCGCACAGGACCACGCAGATCACACGGCAACTACTGCGATCGCATGTGTTAATTATCGCCGCTGCATCTGGAGCTGTACAGGAGACACAAACAGAGGCTCATGCGCGCATGTTTTGGCTATATAGCTCCACTACCAAAATGCTTTTTCAAATCAACTGCAACAGCGAGCTGCTTACTGGAGTACCATTATTTCTTACAGATTTGTTTTTGCCCCCATTTTTGTTGGACACGACTGGACAACATGCCGTTCTGCAAGTTAGTCAAATGTTGTAACTTTTTGACTGAATCAAAAATAAATGGTTCATAACAATCAGACTACAGTGGTTTGGTGCAAAAACTTTGGTGCACAAATTTTTCTGAGACAGACGTGCACTCATGACCAATAAAGAAATCATTAGAGACATAAAAGATGAACAACAAACCAAAAGACAAGCAAAGGAGGCGACGAAGCACAAATGTCCACCTTTCGAAACAACAAAGTTAGGATTCTGATTGCGGAATCAGCATGGATCACAACCTGTTCCAACCACAATTCTATTAAAAACAGCTACAAGAAGAGCAGCTCCAATTATTAGCACAACTGTGTCCAGCAGTCATGGCCGATGCGAGTGGGAGGGAGCAGTAGTTAGCTCTTGAGAGGTGTGAAAGAGTGATATACTGGCCACTAGGATATATGCCAACATATAATTGGTGTCACCAGACCACAGCCACTGGTCGCATGGAATCGGGAAGCGTACAAGGAACGTGTGCCTGGAGGAGCCTGTCTTTTTGCAATTGTTGCCACATTGCCATCTCTCTCTTCCTTCATCTTTCATTCTTTCATTTTCTGTCTTCACTCTCTCCATGCCTCTCATCTGCCATGCCCTGGGCTGCTACCAAGGGGGAATTACTGCAGTGGAGCACAAAGTCCTCCCCTCTTCCTCCCTTTCTTAGTTTTCTCTCTCTTTCTCTCTCGCTCTTATGCACACAGGCACTATTTATAGAATGCAATGTCACTCACGCAACAGTCAGATCGCTCCCTGCTCTGAACACAGCTCATACAACATTAACACTCTCCTCCTCAACTCAAAGACCATGTCAGGGTTCTATCTGCCAATCCACGTGACGCTCTACCTGATGCTCATCTCAGCATCTGCTGCTTTATGGGATGCTCTATCAGCTGTTCTACCTGACAATCTCCAACATTCTGAAAGCATTATTCTCTCTGCAACCCTATCTGATGTTGTACTTAATGATAGGATGCTCTATCTGATCACTCCATCTACTCTATTGGATGCTCTAGCCTACCTAATGTTCAATTTGTTTCACTGGATCTTCTGGTCTCATTGACTCCATTGGACCCTCTATCTGCTGGTCTAGCAGGTGCTTTATCAGATGTTCCATCCAATCTATCTGATGTTCAACAAGATGTTAAATACACTGTATCAGATTTTCTATCTCACAAATCTTGTTACATATAGACAATAGGATGCTCTGTTTGCCACTATCTACTCTTTTGGATGCTCTGTGTCTAACCTGCTATTCATCTCTGTCAAGATATCTCATTGACTCCATTGGATCTTCTATCTGCTGCTCTGTCAGGTGCGCTGATCTACTCAGAATTAGAGTTAGATGTTTAATCTAATGGAAGATGTTCTATGTTCCATCTAATCTACCTGATGTCTGACAAGATTTTAAATATACTGTATCAGTTTTTCTATCTAATGAATCTTATGTTATACATACACTCTATGGGATGCTCTATCGGCCACTCTACGTGATCTTTTATCTACTCTATACTTTCTGAAGTTTTACTAAATGTTCACTGCATCGCCTCATGCATCTCACATCTTATCTTTTATTGATGCTATTGGATCCTCTATCTGCTGCTCTATCTATTCTACTGGAAGCTTTATCTGATGTTCGACAAGATGTTCGACAGTAAATCCACTGTATCAGATTTTTTTTTTTTTTTTTTTTTTTTTTTTTTAATCTAATGAATCTTAAGTAAATATAGAATATAGAGATGTAATTTGCATATGACTTGCACTAAAAACAGAAATTAATTGGTATAATAGCTTGATTAATTGCCCTACACAAGTTGGGTTATGATAAAAAATTATGTTTGGCTAAAATAATTTGTCTTTCTAAGGTAGTGTGTGTTTCTTTAGGAAGGTGACTAGCTTTTGTCTGACTATAAATAGCTCAATAAAGATCACTATGGCAGAGGAACTCCCACAGGAGCCTTGACTTTAGGAACTATACCCCTAAGCATTCCCCCAAATCCCAGCCCTGAATTTAAAATACACAGATATGTTGTTAGATATGTGTTGCCAAAGAGCTACAACCAAGCAAGCATGTTTTTACCCATTTTGGCCTTAGGGATTAAACTGTCGAGGCATTCACACTGATCTCAGATCAGGGGCCACAACTCCCTGTTTGTGTCAGTGTGAGTTGCTACTGTACTGAACTACTAATTTAGACACACGCAAAATGGAAATGAATGGAAATACGTAGAGGGAGAGATAGTGGGAAAGAAACATCTGGACGGGGATTAGAAGAACTAAAGGGGGTTAGCGAAAGCAGGGGTGGGGTGAGGGACAGAGAAATGGTAAAAGCTTAATGCACAGGGTCAAAGGAGGAGGTTGAATGGGAAGATGGTGGAGGAGAGAGCAGCCCTTACTTGAAAGAAGCCGGGAGGCATGGGTCCACCTGTCATGCCGTCGTTGGGCGGCATGTTGCCCATCACAGGACTGGGAGCTGCTGCCGCACTCTGAAACAGAGAAACACACAAAGTCTGGTCAGAAAATAGCATAAATTCCAAACCAAATTCCATCTTTTAACCATTCAAAAGTTTGTATGTATTATAGAGTACATTAAATAACTTTTCCAATAACAATTTCCAATAACAATTCCATAATACAACAACATACAAGTAGAATCTCAAGTCCATATGTGAGCAGAAGGGGTAGACAGGGATTACACACGACCCAGCCCCCCTCCTCCACACTGTAATTAGATACCTCGCTCTCGTCTGTGTGGAGGAGGGTAAATCGCCTCAGTACCGCTGACCCTAAATAGCCCAGACACTCACCGCTGACCCTGAGAGGGCAAAGGGAACCGTTCCATGCACCAACATACACAGGTATAGGTACTAGTGGTGCAACGGATCACAAAATTTACGGTTCGGATCATATTACGGATTGTTTTTCGGATCAGCAAAAAAATAAAAAAAATAAATTAGTGAAAGCTTACTTTAAGTACTTCAATACCACAGCAAAAACTACTAGCTTAACTAATAAAGTTAGTAATAAAACAATTACACAAATTACAAGCATAGATGAATACAACAAAACACAGTTACAAATAAAGTCAGTAACAGTAGCAATCAGGTGCAGAGATGTAACGAGTGTAAAATAACACAATAGTGCTCACTGCACAAGTTAAATACAGATTCATCTTTGTTAGAGCTGTGGTGTTTGATTAGCAGACAGAAACAGGTATTTACAGCTGTTTACATTCACTTAAAGGCACAATATGTAATTTTCGCCGCTAGAGGGCGCGTATTCAAAATAAACAAATAGACAAAGGCATAGTTTGATGACGCCGTGACTGAGTGTGGAATCATGGGAGTTGTCGTCTTCATCCTCACAGCCGATGCAATCCAACGGGACTCTGGCAGAAATCATGTTCATGGATGATCTAATGATTTATTAACGTAGTCGAATGAAGCAGGGTGAGGCTGAAAGCCGTCGAAGCGAAACGAGGCCGCTGAACGAGCGCGACACACGGCTCGAAAGCAGCAGAGCTTTTATTATGCCACAGTCGACCGCTTCCGCTCCTTCCGGTCGTGCGTATGCGGGGGGGAAAAGCAGCGCTGTTTTATCATACTAGATACATTTGAAAGTTCTGTTATAATGCTACTCTGTGCGGTCGTCACCGGTCTATTAAAACGTCTTTGGTGTTTCCATGTTTTCTACAAAACAAAACCAGAAATTGAGGGGTTATGACGTCATTGGCAGGCGACACAATGACACTATGGACACGCTCCGTGTCACTATTAAAATTGCTTATATCTCTGGATTTAAACATTCTTCGAAACATTTGGGATAATGTAAGTACACAAGTCAGCAAAATATATAACACTGTTCTAGTGGTTTTTGGATATTTTAATAAAAAAATCTTACAAATTGTGCCTTTAAGACATAACTGACTGCGTTTACTAGAATACTTGCCAAAACGGATATTTTAATATAACTTTGTGTGTATGTGAAAGAGGAATCAATTCGCTGTTCACGCGGTGTCTCTCTCTCCGCGTGTGCACGGCAGCGGCTGAGCGCACAGAAAACAGCACGCGAGTTAAAATTGCTTGAATGTGTAAACTGGCAAGACAAAACATGTGCAAGTGATAAACTTTCACTCTATGATGGTTAAACTTAAGTTAATTCGCGAATCACATGCGTGCCGAACCGTGCAGCCTGATCCGTACGGATCACTGATAGAGGTCTGCTACCCGACCCGAGCTCGACGGGTCCCGAAATACTTTCGGGTTCGGTTCAGATTAATGCAGGCTACGCTGCTTTCATAGACGCACGCACACACATTATTGCACACGTCAACACAACACGGGAAACTTTTATTAGTAAAATAGCTTCTACAGGCTACTGACTCGCAATGTTATATTTCTCTGCAATCTGCAATCGCTGTTTTTGAAGGAACTAAGCCTCATTGCTTGTAGAGAGAGGCGCGCAGACGCAGGTTCACACGCGCAACTTTCATCTCTCTCTCTCTCGCTAATTCAATAAATAATTAATTCAAATAAATGCAATCTTACCGCACTGCATCTCTGTGTCTGATTTAAAGCAGACCGAATGCTAACGAGCCTTAACTGACGAGAATGACCATAATTTTTCTGCCAAAAACTCGGCAGAATTTGTGTGACCGCTGCACCTGATGTTCATAAACTCTCATAACTGGTAAGTGTTTTTTATTTTGCCTTGTGATCTGGCCGAGCCTTAATGATTCTGTTTCTTTACATGTATATGTTTACTGACCGTTGCATGCATTCGTGAAATACAGCATTTTTTTTATTGGCTATTTGTTGTGGGGGGAGGGGGGAGATTTTGGGTTCGGTCTCTGGTACGGGCCGGGTTCGGGCTTCACTTTAAAGCCTGTGCAGACCTCTAATCACGGATCATCTACGATCCGTTGCACCCCTAATAGGTACACAATCTCTGTCTTTAGCTCTCACATGTATGTAGCTGCAAATCGAACTCTAAAGCCACATACAATCTGCTAAAGTCCAAATACTAAAATTCCTTTAGGGCTTCATCTCACCATCACCTAAGTTTGAGAAACCAAGAAATAGTTCCATTTTAAATGTTTTCCATTACTTCCGTTTCCGTTAATGGATTTTTCAAAGAGATTTCAAATGTGTCAAAATGAACTTTTTCAGAGAATAAAGGCCCATTCACACCAAGAACGATAAAGACAACTATAAAGATAAACATAATTGATGTCCACACCAATGGACAATTCTTGTGTTTATTATAACAGTTTTGTCATCTGCTGCTTTAGGTAAATGTTCAAGCGCTTTAAAGTTGGATGGATTCTGATTGGCTGTCAATGTTTTCAGTGTTCATCATGTCGTTATTGTTAAGGCTTATTTATACTTCTGCATCGAACCTGCGCCGTTTAGCCTGACATGCACTCTCCAAAAATGTCACAGCGCGTCAATTATACGTGGACCGCAATCGCTGTGATTGGTCTGCTAGTACCCCTCCCTCCGTATGTATTTGAGGTTTGTGTTTTTTTGCACTGTAATATATTTTAATGTTACACCTTTCTTATTTAAAATAAATCAAAGCAAAGAACAAGTGTCTAATAATTTATTATAAAACGTATAATTATACATCACTTTGTTGTCCGCGACAAACAATGTTGTTCTTCCTTATGGTACAAGTCCTTGTGGAGATTAAAAGAATGCAATCTTCTCCTGTTCTGTTGTCGTCTCTTTTTTGTAGTTTTAAATAAATTATCTGTTCTTTGATATTTATTTGCCGCCGTCACGGCTGATGCTTCTCCGACAAGCAGCTGCTTCTTCGGCTTTTGCCGTGGTACTGCAGGTTACACAAGCAACATGGCTGTGGACACTTCAGACTAGCGGCTTACATGTGTACTGCACATCGACGCAGAAGTATAAATGAAAACCGACGCACAGGATACGGCGTAGAGGCTACAGCATATGTCCGACGCAGAAGTATAAATCAGCCTTTATAGTTGTGGTGTGGACTTCCATATTCTCATAGAACTAGAACGATTATTAAAACATTATAGTTATCATTATAGTATCATCCTTAGGGCTGGGTATTGTTTGTTTATTTCCCGATACCAGTGCCAAATCGATACTTTTAAAATGGTGCCGGTGCCTAAACGGTGCCTGAACCGATACTTGAAAAAGTAAAATAACCCCAAATAGGATGGATTGGCCATCCATTTTCGTTCATACTGGATGCCAGAGGGCGCCCTTGCGCAGAAACTCCACATGTGCATCACAGAAAGAATAGAACTCAGGAAATCCCTAATATGGACAGGCAATGCTTTCGCTGTAACGGAGTAAACAGAAGATATAAACGTTTTGAATGATAAAACAAACACAATAAACACTCGACTGTGACAATGTATAGTTTATCTGTGTTAGTCAAGCCATCTCTGGTATTTTCATAATAATTAAATATATTTATAATACATTGCTAATCGACATAGCCTTTTTTCCATATGCTTTTTACAGTAAAGAACATTTTCTGCCTCATTCTGTGACAAGAAGCCACATCAGATCACAAAAGGAAGTAGTTGTGGAGTAAAAACGTTAGTGTTCTCTTTTGTTGGACAACAGGTTTAGAAACGCTTCTCATTGCAAGTCATTACAAGGGAAGATTAGCTTTAGGCATTTTCATTTAAGCGTTCATTAAGCATTTTCATGTTTAGCTTAGCTAGCTAACGGTAGACTACCTGCTGCAGTCAGAGCAAGAGTAACCGTTGCTGCATTCACGCGCTCCTCTGATTCTCTCATTTCTCGAGTTGTGCTTTTAAATCAGAATATGAAAACAACATGGACACTTGCATTACTACAAAGATTTGTTGGATTTGTATTATTAGAGCTTTCCGACTTGCGTTCGTAAATTTTCTCCTTAATGATTCTGTTTCTTTACATGTATATGTTTACTGACCGTTGCATGCATTCGTGAAATACAGCATTTTTTTTATTGGCTATTTGTTGTGGGGGGAGGGGGGAGATTTTGGGTTCGGTCTCTGGTACGGGCCGGGTTCGGGCTTCACTTTAAAGCCTGTGCAGACCTCTAATCACGGATCATCTACGATCCGTTGCACCCCTAATAGGTACACAATCTCTGTCTTTAGCTCTCACATGTATGTAGCTGCAAATCGAACTCTAAAGCCACATACAATCTGCTAAAGTCCAAATACTAAAATTCCTTTAGGGCTTCATCTCACCATCACCTAAGTTTGAGAAACCAAGAAATAGTTCCATTTTAAATGTTTTCCATTACTTCCGTTTCCGTTAATGGATTTTTCAAAGAGATTTCAAATGTGTCAAAATGAACTTTTTCAGAGAATAAAGGCCCATTCACACCAAGAACGATAAAGACAACTATAAAGATAAACATAATTGATGTCCACACCAATGGACAATTCTTGTGTTTATTATAACAGTTTTGTCATCTGCTGCTTTAGGTAAATGTTCAAGCGCTTTAA